TGGATGTCTGCTCTTCTTCCACGATTTTCATCTCAAATGCTTAATGACATATTCAATGACATATTTGTATGTTCAATGACATATTCCATGACATATTTTCTTTACTTTTTATGCCTATATAAAGGCCTTATAATAGATAGAAAAATACACACAATTGGAGAAGAAAACCTCTTCCTTTCTCTCTATCTCTATTTCTTGTTCATGTTTTACTAAATTATCTTTATTTCTTGTTCATGTTTTACTAAATTGCTTTTATTTCATAATCGTCACCATTTTTTTGTCCTTGTTCTAAACTCCACTAACAAGATATTTCGATAAGTCACTTAAATTCAAATGACGAATTTTAGTGCTTATGGCTAAATTAACATGTACAAATATTAAATTATTGATTTCTGCTTGGGTAGTGTGTCTTTATAATCGTATTATATTTGTAAAGACAATATACTGCTTCTTGATTAGAGGTATCGCGTCATATTAATTTTTATTTTTTATTTTTGACCTTGTTGTTACAAAAAGTGGTTATGAAGGTGTGCAAGTTTACTATGCTAATATCAGACAGTCAGATTTATTGAGTCATTCTAATGGTTGTAATATTATTTTTCTCATGTGGCAAGTCACATGAAGATGTCTTGTCACATCATGGTATTGACGGGACGTTGAGTTTGAATGAATTTGATATGTATTTTGAAATAAATTTTATCAACTTTCAAGTAATTAATAGATTGTGCTACGATTTAAAAGATGATTATTTAATTTAAAAATACGGCATGTAATGTTTATTAAAATTGCCAACTATTACAATAATATTGTGGTAATTATTATTTATTTTTGAAGGGTAGCAAATTGATAGAAAATCTTAGTTTTTGAAAAATAGGACAATTACCAATAATTATATTGAATTGTAGAAAAATGCACAAAACTCGTAGTATTTAACTAATCGCAATAAAATGATAAAAATTACTATATCTTGTGAAAATAGGAATAATTATCAATAAATTGCATTAAGCCAAATAATATACAAAAGCTACAATTATTCAGACTAGGAAGCATGTAGAAGTTAATTTTAATACGAAGGATCAAAATTGAGTGTCAGCAACTGCCCCGCTCTAACCGAAGATGATGTAAGAGTCTTCAGACAAAGATATTGACGCCATACCCAGATTTTCTTAGGAGTTCCTTTCTTTCGTTTTTGGTGGTGTAGCCCGAGAAAATTGTGTATTTTCTTAAAGAAGATTGGAAGGCGTACTTTTTATGTTCAGAAGCCAATCATCCTTTGATTATTAAAAACTAAAATTGCCTATTTCCTTTTTGAAGTGCCAATTAGTTATTCAGTTCTCTTTCTCGTTCGTTCCAGAATATCAATCCCTTAACCACGCTATTGCGCCTCAGGTCTACGACTGTTTGGTGCTCAAAGGGAACTCTAAGCACACGACAAAATTACAAAGATGGTCCTTTATGTTTGGGGGTAGGTTTAAATGCGATCCTTTATATTTACTTTTAACACGTTGGTCCTTTAAGTTTATCTAATCTTATCATTTTTAGTCTCCGTTAAATTCTAAACAGGGAAAATGGTCAGATATACCCTTTTACTTTAAAATATTATTTATATTTGTCCTCCGTTATACATTAGGAGCAAAAGTACCTCTACCGTTATAATTCTTATAAAAAATATACCTCTATCTCTAACGGAGGTCTACTGTGGCAATGACATAGAGATTAAAATTCCATGTGGGTTGACATTTAGGTGAGGTGGACGCCACGTGACATGCCACCTCACCAGCCTAACCTTATTTTATCCCCTTCCCCAGTAGGACAATACTTTCTCTAGTTCTTCCCATTTTTTCTTTTTTAGAATCGTTTGCTATTTGGGAAAACGTAGTTGAAGGAAAACTAAAATAACCATTGGACTATTTGGAAAAACTTGAAGAACACCCAAATGGGTTCGTAGTGAATCTGTGATTGCTTAAATTCGTCTTTGTCATGGGCCCATCTTCCCTAACTTGATGCAATTTTCCAAGCTAAATGGAGCTCCCAAAAGTCACGCTCTAACTCACACTATGATAAGGGTCTAAAGAACCGGACTTTTCTCAATTCATATGAACACACAATTTCACTTAAAATTCTAACAGATAACATTTGTAAGATTGAATATTTTGATAAACTAAGATAATATGTGTGCTTCAAGTGAGGAGTTCTCTTAGTTGGGAACATGAATCCTACCCAACTTATGGAGATTTCATCGTTTTTCCATTGTTTACTTTATTCTTTTACACAGTCAAATTTTTGCATGATATATCTGTTTTCGGGGTACTCTTGTTTTTAAAATTTGTTTCATTAGCTTTTATGAAATCAACTCATATGATTCAGTCTTGAAATTTCTTGATATTTGGGATTTTCGGATTGTTTTTAGATTGGTTTTTGTTAGTTTTGTTGATTCTTTAATTGATGGATCTCAATGTCAGTTGTAAATTAATTAAGGTTAGTGTGATGCGGTGGTAAGCCACGTGGCATCTACCTCATCTAAATGCTAGTCCACGTGAAATTTTAATAGCTGAGTCATTGCCACAGTGGATCTTCGTTAGAGATAGGGGCATATTTGAGAAGAATTGTAACGGCATGGGTATTTTTGCTCCCAAAGTATAACGGAGATTAATTGTAAACAATATTTAAAAGTAGAAGTGTATATCTGGTCCTTTTCCCTTCTAAACAAACAGTGTTAACCAATTTTAACAAACACAAACGGAATTCTCACGTGAGCTAAAATCTTTGTCACTGTTATGATAAATATCACATNCTGTCACTGTTATAATAAATATCACATTATGGTGGATGTCTACTCTTCTTCCATGATTTTCATCTCAAATGCTTAATGACATATTCAATGACATATTTTGTATGTTCAATGGTATATTCCATGACATATTTTCTTTACTTTTTATGCCTATATAAAGACCTTGTAATAGATAGGAAAATACACACAATTGAAGAAGAAAATCTCTTCCTTTCTCTCTATCTCTATTGCTTGTTCATGTTTTACTAAATTGTCTTTATTTCTTGTTCATGTTTTACTAAATTGCTTTTATTTCATAATCGTCACCATTTTTTTGTCCTTGTTCTAAACTCCACTAACAAGATATTTCGATAAGTCACTTAAATTCAAATGACGAATTTTTAGTGCTTATGGCTAAATTAACATGTACAAATATTAAATTATTGATTTGCTTGGGTAGTGTGTCTTTATAATCGTATTATATTTGTAAAGACAATATATTGCTTCTTGATTAGAGGTATCGCGTCATATTAATTTTTTATTTTTTATTTTTGACCTTGTTGTTACCAAAAGTGGTTATGAAGGTGTTTGGATTGGCTTTTAAGTTGTTCAAATCAGATGTTAAGCTTTTTTTAGAGTCTGTTTGGAAAGCCATGTGTAATTACTTGGTTGTGTAATTACTAGGGTAGTAATTATTCAGTCTGGTAATTACACAGTATAGTAATTACAATGGTTTGTTTGTTTGTCGCGATGTAATTACAGTGTAATTACCAATGTAATGTTTGGTTGTACTAGTGTAATTATATACTCCCTCTGGTCCAAAATAAGTAATTTTTTAGTTGTTTTCACACATATTAAGAAATTCACCTTTTAACATTAATTAGCAATGAAATTGACCATATTAACCTTTATTATCTCTTCATATACACACTCATAACACATACTCCAATATTAATTACTCCAAGGGCAATGTAGAAAAAAAATAATCAATTCATTCTTGAAATTTGAAAATATCACTTATTTTGGACCACAAGAAAAAGGCCAAAAAATTACTTATTTTAGACCGGAGAGAGTAGTTAAATAACTTTTTTCAGATTAACATGTACAATAATTAAGTTTTACTGTGAAAATAGTTATGTAATAAGAAATATTAAATATTATTTATTATTATGTATTATATATATTTTTTTGTAAGAAAATATATTAATTAATTATAAAATAGTAAATAATATCATAATAAAATAATTGGTATTAGTTCTCCATATAAGTAATTTTATAATTTGAAAGAGAACAATGAAAATATGGCATAATTTAATAATAACAACGTATGTCAAATTTGAACAACAATAAGAAGCTCATTTGGTCTTATTAATGAAGGTTGTAGCAATTATAATGAAACGAACAAAAATTTGGAGAAGCTATATAAAGCATGGCTGGTCCATTGAAGGATTACTAGATACCAATGGGAAGAAGCTAGAAGACGCTCACTTCTTTATAACTGACTAACAACAATATGGGTTTAGTGAATTAATATTCCAAATGAAATTAATAAATGAGCTAGCAATAAACTAATTACATGCAACAGGACAACGTCGGATTACATGATAAAAAAATCTGTCTTATTTGTTTCCTCATGTGAAAAAATTTATATTTGAAAGGAAAAAAAGAATTTGAAAGATTGCCTTGTAATTACATTACACTCAATTCTTTATTCCCCTTGAGAATTGAAGAGTGTAATTACTCCCTCTCAATTACACCCAATTCTCCAATAACCAAGTAATTACTTGGTCAAACAAACATGTTAAATTGTGTAATTACACACCAATCCAATTCCCTTCTCGCTTTCCAAACATGCTCTTAGTGTTTGGCAAAGTAAAAAAAGTGCTTAAAATAAGTTAAAAGTCGGGTAACCCAACTTATTATTTTTTGACTTAAAAATTATTTTTGTTGAAAAACAACTTTTTTAAGTCAATCCAAACGGGCTCTATATTTGTTGTTATTGACTAAAACTAATTAGCATAATTATATTTGTTATAAAACTAATTAGCATGATTTGTCGTCATGTATTTAAAATTTAATAACATATAAAGTCAAACTTGCTCCTGAACTATGTGAATGGTCGAAATATAATTCTTCTAGTATTTTTAGAACGTGGTAAGTTATCCTTGTTCACAATTCAAAATGTATATTGCCATTGGAAACAAAGAAAAATAAATAGTACGTAAATATTCATGCTCTACTAAAAAGGGAAAGAAAACTTAAAAGTAAAATAAAAGAAAAAGAGAGAGAGAGAGAGAATAGGGGTATAGCGTATCGAACAAAAACAGCCGAAAGATTACGATAGCAAAAAACGAGCTTCACATCTGTGCTGCCGAAGAGAGAAGAGAAAAAAAGAGAGATCGAAAATGAGCGGAGTGGGGAAGAAGATCGCCGACGTGACATTCAAGGCCGGCAGGACTATTGATTGGGAAGGAATGGCGAAGCTTCTGGTCACCGATGAGGCTCGCAAGGAGTTCTCTAACCTCCGCCGTGCCTTCGATGATGTCAACTCTCAACTCCAAACCAAGTTCAGCCAGGTCATCTCTCTGTTTTCCTCTATGTGTAGTCTATCTATACTTATCTATGTGGATCTAGGGTTTCATTGTTGGATCTGTGCCTAGCTTGCTTTTATTTATTTTAAATAAGAAGATTTATTGTATCTAATATTCCAAGGGACGGATCGTTTTGTAATTAAATTTTGTTAGCTGTGTTTTGACTTGTGGTTCAGAGAACTCTTAGTTAGCATTTATATATATATATATATATATATATATATATAT